GCAGAGGAAATGGCTGAGCGGAAGAGAGTGGCAGAGAGTGTGAGAAAGGGGCGCCTCCAGCCCCAACCCTCCTGGGCCGTCTCCCTAGAGGTCTGGCCCAGGCAGGGGCAGCCTGTCTCTGCTGTCTGTTCTCATGACGACCTGGGGATCTGTCCCGTGTTGGGGAAGGGCTGTGTGTCCTTTTCCCCAGAAAGGTCTGTGTGTTTGGTCATGTTGGGGTGTGGGCGGGGCTTGGTTTCTGAGCATCCGCCCCTCAGGGATGAGGGACTGTCTCTCCTTCCTGCAAGGTCTGTGTGTCTGTTCCTTTGGGAGTCCTGTGAAAATCTGCCATTCTTCGGGGAAGAGGATTCTGGGTGACCGTGCCTGCAAAATGGGAGGGCGGCTTATCCACCCCTAGAAAGGGAGTCTGTGCAAAGTACCCCCCCGGGGGGGGGGGCTGTTGCTCTGTCCCTAGTATCTTGTGGGGTGGGGAGCATCTCCACCTTACCCTCCTTGTGCTATCCTGGTTACCTGGCCCCCTGGAATGGGGTCCAGGTTTCCTGCTTGGTAGTGCCCAAGCCGGGCTCGCCGGTTGGGGGCCTCTGCCCTCTGATGTTTCCCGGCTGGGAGGGCAGCAAGGGTCAGCACCCTGCCGCCTGGCTTGCAGCTGGGCACTGCTCCCTGCTAACACAGCATGTACCAGGACAGGGCCCCCCCGCGTACCCCTCCCCGACCCAGCTGCCACCCACAGCCCCCATGACCACACCAGGCCTGATTTACGGTCCTGAGTTGGGGTTGGACAGTGTCAGCAGCTGGATCAGACCTTGAGGAGACCTCAAGTGGCACCCCCGGCCTGGCAGGGTCAGGGCCCAGCAGGAGGTGAGAGGGAGCCAGGGTGGTGAGGAGGGGTCAGCAGGAGGCAGAAGCTGAGGCCAGAGCCTCCAGGGGCCCGCAGACCTCCAGGCAGCCAACCCGAAATATGCCTCTGGCCCTCAGGGCTCTGGCCTGAGTGTGTGTGGAGAGTGACACCAGGAGTGAAGAGGTCTTTTCTCCTGCCTCGCACGGACTCCTTCCTATACCACCATGGGGGCTGGAGGCTTCTAAGTCCCACTGACCAGTCCAGGCCTAAACCAGTCTCCCAGCCTGGGGCCCGGGAAGGGCCTGGGTGGAGGCCTGAGAGCCGGGGCTGAGGCAGGGGTGCGGGCAGAGGTTTGGAGCAGAGACTGCAGGCTGGGACTGGGTGCTGGCCACTCTGGGGATGCCAGAGCAGCTGTGGGGCTGCACAGCCAGGCCTGGACAGGGCTGGATGCCAGACGGACAGAGGCTCAGCCCCTCAGCCTCATCTCTGCAGGAGCCAGGAGCCTGTGGGAAAGGGGCTGCGACCCATCCGGATATCAAAACTAAAACTCCCAGAGGATCCAGGCCCAGCTCACATGAGGGCCATCCAATGCTGGCCTCACCAGAGCAGGACACAGATGTGCTTGGCACAACTGCCCCGTGGCTGCAAAAGGGTTTCACCGCCGCCTGTCTGGTGACCATGCGGCAGCCACCATCCTGTGAATGGGCTTCCTCTTAGGTTCCCTCTACAACCACAGCATGCTGGGTGCTCAGAGCAAGCCGTGTAGACAATGCAGGTCCCCTACAGCATGGTCACCTATTATCTGCAGAAGCCTCTCACCTCACTTCCCCCCACAACCCAGACCCGGGCCCCCAGGCCCAGACCCCCGGGTGTAGAGCTGCCCCCAGTCCCTAGACCTCAAAGCCACCCCTCAGAGTCACAGTGCCGTCTCAGGGCTCGAGAGGTGGCTGGGGCCTCTGGGCAGGGGGCCCAGCGTGGGTGGGGTGGGGGAGACAGGGAGGCAGGCTTCCTGGGTCTCCGTGTGAGGACAAACAGCAGGCTTTGAGGCCTTGGAAAATCCCGCCTGGGATTCCAGGCCCTGCCGGCGTCACTGCCTTTTGACTATTGTCCCCATCGGAAACAGGCCCAGCCCCCGGCCAGCAGGGACAGAGCAGCCATTGTGAGGCCCCACCAGGCTCAATGTCCCCTTGTTTGCCCTCCCGGCCCCTAGCAAGACTCGGAGGCCAGTTCTTCCAGTTGCTTAGTGGAAAGAAAAGGGCTGCCTCAGCCCCAGGCCTAGGGTGGGGCAGGGTGGGGCAGAGTGGGGCTGGAGGAGCCAGCCCCCCACCCCTGCACCCCAATTGCCAGGGTCCCGAAAAGGAACCATCATTGGAGCGTTTTGTTGTTGTTGTTGTTGTTTATCTTTTATTGAAGTCAGAATCTCACTCTGTCGCCCAGGTTGGAGTGTAGTGGCATGTTCACTGCCACCGCAGCCTCAACCTGCTGGGCTCAGGTGATCCTTCTGTCTCAACCTTCCAAGTAGCTGGAACTACAGGCATGGGCCACCATGCCCGGCTATTTCTTTTTTTAATTTATTGCAGAGATGAGGTCTCACCATGTTGCTCAGGCTGGTCTTGAACCCCTAAGCTCAGGCAATCCTCTCCCCTCTGCCTCCCAAAGTGCTGGGATTACAGGCATGAACCACCATGCCCTTTTTTTTTTTTAATTTTCAAGGCCCTTGGCAGGGAGACCTCATGGTTAAATAGCCAGACACACCCAGCTCCTCACAAGCCAGGTGACCTTGGGGAAGTCATTTCCTCTCTCTGCCATGAATTCTCCTTTTTTAAAAACAATAGCTAATATTTACTGGGTGCTCGCTCTGTGCCAGGCACTGTCGGAAACACTGTGTTGTGTATTCACTCCTGTAATCCTTAGAACAACTTTATAAAATAGGCACAATGCTTGTCCTCATTTATAGGTGAAAGCTCTGAGGCACAGAAAGGTGAAGTAACTTGTCTCAAGTCCCACAGCTAGTAAAAGCTGGAGCCAAGATGTAAACCCAGGCAACCAGGCTGCCATGGCCTTGCCCTCTCTCTCCACCTAACTCCTGTTGTGCCACCTGCAAGGTCATCGAGCTCTCCTCATGGGATAGTAGCGAGGGCTAGAAATGACAAGTGTCAGATGAAAAGAATCTAGATGGGGCAGGCCATAATATACCAGAGCCATTACCATCATGATGGGCTTAGAGATATCCAGGGACCCATTCTCGGGCCCCGGCCCTTCCCCAAACATCCAGGTAGTCCCTTTGCCTTCTCCAGGAGCCTGCCCTGTCCCCACGTCTGTGTGCTAAAGGCAGGGATTACAGGAGAGTGACCCAAAGAAGGGACTTAGTCCAGCCACACTGGTGGGATCTTTGCCAGCAAGCTCTGCCCCTCACCAGGGCAACACTCCCAGACTCACCTCCCGACTGCACAGACAGGGATATCGAGGTTCGTGAGGGAGAGGGGCTTCTCAGAGAACAGCATGGAGTTGGGCTGGAACAGAGGCCTCTCTCCTGACTGTCCCAGGCTGTCGAGTGCGAGTACTGCTGAAAAGGACCACTCAGGGGGTCTGGTGGGGGTGACAGGGATGCTTGCTTGGAAGTCCACAGCACTGCTGGCGGCAGACACAAGGTCGGGACCATGGTCTACCTCCCCTCCCCCCACAGCCACACGTGGACCCTTCAGAAGACCCAAGGCTGACCTGTATTTCCTGAACCCGAGTGAGAGCCCGTGGTTGGGACTCCCTGCGACTGTGGCTGGAGCACCAGAGATGGCTTTGCTTCTCCTCTATCCAGAGCAGAGCCATATTCTGTCTCCATTTGGTGGAGGCCACCCCTCATCCAGCCAGTTCCCAGGGCCATGGAGGTGGGGAATCGGGCCCTAGGTCAGTCGGGGCGTAAGGAACAGTGTGAGGGTGCTGTCTCCAGGGCTTCTACCAGGCCCCAGAGAAGAGAATGGTGAGGCTGGATGGGCAGGGAGCAGAGAAGGGTGCCCGGCCCTGCATGGTGGCCAGTGACCTTGACTTCAGGTGGCGTCCATCTGGGTGCATGCTTCTCAAAGGAGTGGCTTCCAGACCACCTGCATCCCAAGCATCTGGGTACCAGCTAAAAGTGCAACGTCGTGGGGCCCCACCCCTCACCAAATCGGAGGCTCTGGTGGGGAGGCCCAGGAATCTGCATTTTTTGAGTTGGAGTCTCACTTTGTCACCCAGGCTAAAGTGCAATGGCACACTCATGGCCATCCCAGCGTCAACCTGTTGGGCTCTGGCTATCCTTCCGCCTCAGCCTTCCAAGTAGCCGGAACTACAGGCACACGCTACCATGCCCGACTAATTTTTTGATTTATTGTAGAGACGAGGTCTCGCCAAGTTGCCGGGGCTGATCTCGAACCCATGGGCTTAGGCAATCCACTCGCCTCAGCCTCCCAAAGTGCTGGAATTACAGACTGAGCCACCGAGCCTAACCAGAATCTGCATTTTAAGCCCGCTGACTGAACACCTGATGAGCCTAGGGGTAGGAGAACCTACATGGGGGCACTTGGACACAGGTCGGGACCTCAGTACATTCTCCTGACAAGAAGACAAGGGCCACCAGCTCCCTGGATGCCACTGCTGGGTGGCAGGGGTTGGAAATGGATGCTGAGGATGAAAACCAAAAGAACTTGAACCTACCCGCAACTGCCATTCTGAGCTTATGTCTACCCGGCCCACGTTAAGTATTACACAAACTCCTCTTATCCTAGAAGCTCTATGAAGCTGGGCCTATTCCTCCTGTTTACAGATGTGGAAACCAACAATCAGAGAATCATCTGGATTAGGGACTGTGACAACCCAGACCTACACCATGTCTCTCACTAGAGCTGGGGCTGTAGCCCCTGGGCCAATCGGTCCCTGCAGGCCTCCTGGGTGAGCCAGGGTAGCTTGGTGGAGGCTCCCTATGTGCCAGACACGAGTCCAAGTGCTTTGAGCCACCACCCCACACAGCAGGTGTCGTTATTACCTGTCTTCTACAAATGGGTAAACTGAGGCTTGTCAACTCAGGTTGGTAACTTCCAAGTTTCCCCCAGAGCCACCTCCGTCTCTTATGTAATTATGGGGGTATGTGGTGGGGGTGGGGAGGGGTGTCAGAGAGACTGAATCCCAGTTTCAGCTACATGTCTATTTTTTATTCAATATATTAAATATATTAATCAGAAAAGTCACATACTATAAATCCAGGAAAATACACAAATATAAATGTCAGAATCTGTCATTTGTCTTCTTCCTTAGAGTGATGGTTTATGTACACGTGGAAGGAGGGGAGGAAGAGAACAGGAGGAGGAAGCTGGGAAGGTTCACTGGGCTTCAGGGGCCCCTAACCCTCCTTCCAACCCCCACTCCCACCTCAACCTCTTCCTTCCTGTATTTACAACAGCATTCGGCTTATGTACAGCACAGCGGTGTGTTAAAAACGGTTTATCTTACAAAAAAACATGAAGGCCAGGGATGGGTTGGAGGGGGGTAAGACAAATAGTGGGGTCCCCCCCATGTATGTACTCTCCCCCCAGGACTCGAGCTCCCTGCCTGCCTCTTCGGTCTGCCGCTCGAGCCCGGTGGCAGGGAGGGTGCTCTGGGGGTCCGTGGGTTAAAGGCACGTGGGGTGGCATATGACAGTGCACGCACACATGTGTGCACGTGTGTTCCTGGGTAGAGGTCAGAAGGGTAGCGTGTCCATAAAGATCTTGTCGATGATGGGTGGAGGGGGCACCAGGTCCTCCAGCTTGAGGTAGAAGATTCGTTGCAGGCCCTGGGTGCATAGGGTCCGCAGCTCGGGCAGTTTGCCCAGCAGACGCGACAGGCAGCTGGACGGCTGAGGTTCACCGGCCATGGCCGACACGTGCTCCTTCAGGCAGCTGGCGATGCGGTTCTGCAGCTCCTCCACCCGTCGGGGCTCCTGCAGCCCATGCCGGTCTGTGGGGAGGGCACAGGGTTAGCCACACATCTCAGGACTGGGCCCCCGAAGACCCAGTCTTTCCCCTCTCTCTAAACTGGCCACCAATGGCTATCCCTCAGGCTTGCTGGCACTTCACAAAAAAGCACGTCGGCACGTGAGCCCATATTTAAGCCTCGTCACAAGTCTGAGAAGGCAGTAACACTCATTATCCTATTCCAAGTGAGAAATCAAGGCCCAGAGAGGTTCAGTAATTTTCCCAAGGTCACAAATAAGAAATAAAACCTGCTGGGCATGGTGGTTCATGCCTGTAAGCCCAGCACTTTGGGAGGCCGAGGCGGGAGGATCGCTTGAGCCCAGGAATTTGAGACCAGCCTGGGCAAAAAGCAAAACCCGGTTTCTATAAGAAAATTAAAAAATTAGCCAAGCATGGTGGTGCATGGCTATAGTCCCAGCTCCTTGGAAGGCTGAGATGGAAAGATCACCTGAGCCCAGGGGGTCAAGGCTGTGGTGAGTCCTGATCATGCCACTGTACTCCAGCCTAGGCGATAGAGTGAGACCCTGAATCCAAAAAAAAAAGGAAAGAATGAAAACTCTAACCCAGGTCTTCTGGCTAGGCCAGTAGGTTTTTTTGTTTATATGTTTAATGTAGACTGTTCTGAGAGCCCTGGAGTCGAGCATCAGTGTTTTAGGGGCCACCTCTAGGGCGAGCTGGACTCAGACCTCACCACTCCCTCTGCAGCCCTGGGAACCTCCGACTGTGTTCTCTGTAGTTGGGTCCCCTGTGAAATTTAAGTGAGAAAAGGGGTAGGACCAGATTCTGGTGCTTTAAAGAACAAAAAAGGAGATCTGAACACCTCTGCACTGAAGAGCAGAGTCCACCCTGCAAAACTACATTCACATAAAGTCCAAAACAGGCACAGCTAATCTGCAAGGTCAGAGTCAGAGTGGTTGTCACCTTTGTGGGGGCAATATCAGGAAGGGGGCATGAGGAGAGGGCTCTGGGGGCTGGTCATGTGTTCTTTCCTGACCAAGGTGCTGGTTACGCGAGTGTGGTTTATGAAAACTCATCATTTGTGAACTTTTCTGTATGCAGTGCAATTGATGGGAAGGTTTTATGAACAAGCCAATACCCTAGGCCACACATGTGGCCCCTACAGTCTGTATTTTGGGCAGTCTGGGATAAAAGGCTGGCTTGGGCTTCGGAGTCGGATACAACGGAGTCCCGCCCCAACTCTTGTTGTCCCCACTTTACAGGCAGGTATGGGCGCAGGACCGTGTAGGGGACCCAGGAAGTGCTAAATGCCAGCTCACCCAGCTCCCTGAGACCACGTCCTCCTGAGGACCCATCCACTCCCTGACACCCACCTCCCTAGACCCAGCTTGAAGCTGGCCACTCACCGGTGATGAGGACGAGAGCAGAGAGGCAGGCAAAGGCAGGGACGTCGACAACCAAGCTGTGCAGGGACCTCGAGAAGGCCAGGATGCTGTCAATCCAGTCGCCAAAGCCACGCGCGCACTGCAGCCGGTGTAGGACCAGGCCTGAGCAGAAGATGAGCTGCCCCTCACCCGGCTTAGACCTGGCAGGCAGAGGGCACAGATGGTGGTCAGGGTGGCTTGAGGGCAAGGGCAGCAGGGCAAGGAGCTGGGCAGACAGCGGGCAGCTCACCGGTAGGCCAGGCGGAGGATGAAGAGCTCTAGGAAGGCTGACTCCAGCAGCAGGTCCTGGTCCCCCGGAGACAGCTCGGCAAAGCCAGGGATCTTCTCGGCCCACTTGCGGATGACCTCCAGGGAGCCAGAGAGCAGGTCGTAAAACTGCTGCACGTCCCCGGCATCCTCCTTCCCAAAGCGCGGTAGCACCAGCTCCTGGAACTAGAGCACGGTCTCAGGTCAGCACCCCAAGGAGGGCCCTGCTCCCGCTACCACCTGTGGCTATGTCAGACACTCGATGGCAGATCCAGGAGTGAGCGGGGACCCGAGGGTCAACCCATGCTCTCACTGACAATCTCACATATTAACCCAGCGCTGCAGCTGCCAGAAGAAACTGGCTTTTCCAACTGGCCACTTGCCTGAGGGGTGCATTTTCCCAAAGGGTCAGCCCTGAGGGGGCTCTTCTTTTTCAATCTGATGCACTGGAGGACGGGGTGCCTCATCGGACGTGTGCAAAGGCATCGCATGTGCGCACTGGTTTTCCCCAGAGCAGGGGCAGCGTGGGGGCTCACCTTGGAGTAGTCCAGCTTGGCAGTGCTGGGTCCCGAGTCCAGGTGTGCCCGGACCAGGGAGGTGAGGAGGTTGGCAGGGGAGGCATCCGGGGGCTGCTTGGGTTTTGAAGGTAGCCGGCCCCGCCGCCCCTTCAGGCTGTCTGTCCGAACAACTGCAGAGAACAGGCAGGGGTGAGGAAGGAAGGAAGGGACCCCAGGAAGGGGCTCTCAGCCCAAGCAGAGCACACCACTTGTGCTGAGACATGCCCCCCCAAGTCCCAAGGACCTGGCGCCCCTAAGACCTAAGCACCCTACAGTGACCTCCACTGCCATCACCCTCACAATCCAGGCAGGTGGAAGCCGTCTCCCCCTCAGACCTGGGGGTCCAGACACACCCTCCCCTATGGTCCTCCAGGGCGAAGGCCTGGGGACTCCACCTGCCCCGCCCTGCTCAGGCTCATCTCTGCCCCACTGGCCCCATGCCATCACACACCTTCCTTCACCATGCCCACAGCCAGGCACTTCTGAAAGCGGCAGAACTGGCAACGGTTTCGCCGCCTCTTGTCCACAGGGCAGTCCTTGTTAGCCAGGCAGATGTACTTGGCGTTTTTCTGCACTGTGCGCTGGGGGGGTGCAACACGGAACAGGCTGTCAGAGTGTGGGGTGGCGGGGGGAGCCCAGGGGAGGGGACCGTCCAGATCCTGCTGCCATTGCAGACAAAAGCGCTCTCTGTTCACAGCTATTTTTCTAACATTTGGGTGGCAGGGGAGGGTGACATGGGGCGGGGAGGGGGGGAGAGAAAAGTCTTGAAGACACTGGGGGAGGTTTCTGCCTCAGGAGCAAGACCCCAGGACACAAGATTAGGGGCCAGGCACTCTCGGGCAGTCCAGACACCTGTACTTTTTGATAGGCCTGTGTCCGCCTGCCCCTTCCCTGGGGCAGACAGGAGCCGGGCTGAGGGGCTGGGGGTGGGGACGGGAAGTTAAGCAGTCGCCCAGCACTGGGACAAACACACAGCCTGTTCCCAAGTCCACCCCCACCCCTCCAGAACCAAGCCCTCTGCCCAGAGCCTTTCATCTCGTGCCAGGAACACGAGAGCCTGGGGCACCCCTGCCCACCAAGACCTTGAGTTGGGGGAGGACAGGCAGAGGAAAACCAGAGGCTGGCCATTAGAATGTCCCCTCCCTCCAGCTCTCTGCAGTGCCCTAGGTCCCCACATATCCTGGCAAATGGAAGCTTCCAGCCCCTGCCTCTAGGGTCCCTAGGAAGGTGGCCCACCTGGCAGGCCTGCACCTTCCTGCAGGATGGGACTAGCTGGCAGGAGAACCCAAGGGAGGCTGCCCCTGACCCCGGTGGGACGAGAGACCAGCCTCTCCCATTTCCAACGAAAAGCCCCGCCTGGGGGAGCACGTACCTTGAAGAAACCCTTGCAGCCCTCACAGGTGCGGACACCATAATGCTGGCACGACGCATTGTCCCCACACACAGCACAGCGGCCCTCGCTTCCACCGGGGGCTCCGCTTCGGGCCTTGGCCGAGGTCACAGACACATCCAGGATCCCCGAGCCATCAAGGTGTGGGGAAGGGGGCGCCAAGCCAGGGAAGGCCGTGGCCACGGAATAGCTCTCTCCCTCCCCCAGCTGGTGGGCCGCCTGTGAGGGGAACAGCTTCAGGGAGCTCTGGGCCAGGCTGGGACTGGGGCCGACGGGGGAACTGAAGGAAAAGAAGGCTGGCGGCTGTGGGGGCCCAGAGGCCTTGGGCAGTTGCTCTGTCCATGCCCGCAGGCCTTCGTAAGTCTGGCTGGGCGAGAAGTGGCCGAAGGAGCCATCCCAGGGAGAGAGCTGGGGCGGCTGGAAGCTGGGTGTGGACGGCGACGGGGCAGAGCAGGGGCTGCCGTAGTAGTCAGAGCCGCTGGAGGATAGGGTCTCATCCAGTGGGCCGCTCAGGGGGCCGGGATAGCAGCCATACACCTGGAAGTCCTCAAATTTGAAGGAGGCGGAGGCAGGGGAGGTGGCCGAGGAGGAGGACGTGGAGGAGGCCGAGGAGGAGGCCGAAGAGCATGGCGGGGCCGTTCCCGGCAGCTGGTAGAGGAAGGTGTCGAACTCTCCTGCGTAGCCATCCATGAAGGTGCTGAAGCTGGGCAGGGCAGTGGGGGCCGCAGGGACCGCCTCGGGGCTGGCCATGTCCATGGTGGGCTTGCTGAACTCAGGGGTCAGGGGGTCGCTTGCCAGGTGATCATGGGGTCCTGGGCTCGGTGCTGATGTCCCATATTGGGCTTGGATACAGGGCATCTCTGGGGAAGGAAGAGACCCCAGGGAGAGAGGAGTCAGCGAGAGAAGCCTGAAGCCTGGTCTCGAGGTCACAGAGCAGCCAGGAATCCCGACCCACAGACAGGACACAGAGGCATCAGGCCCACAGCCCACCACAGAACTCAGGAATCCTGGCCGGAGTACCATCTCGACCTACGTGCCACTCCTCGGAAGGCCAGCCACACCCCAGTCAGGCTGGGAACCCTAGGAGAGGCATCCCGCCAGCATTTCTCGGCTGGAACAGGGGGAAGCTGTGTTCCTCCTGCTCCCCGCCCCTCCCCCACTGAGGAAGGCGTGGGTAGGGGCTGGGAGAAGGGTGGGTGGGAGAGGCAGCCCAAGCAGAGCTTCAGCCTGGATCCCAGGAGCAGATTCTCCAACCAGGCACTTCCTGGGAATACTCCCAGGCCACTCCAGCCTCTGCAAAACCCCTTCTCCTCTTCCCCACACAGTGCCCAGGAGGAAGGCCATCCTGGAAGTGGAAGAGGAGCAATGTGGATGCTCCAAGCGCCCCGAGCCTGTCCCCTCATCCCCTTCCCCACCCTGCGTGCTGAGCAGAGGAAGCAGATCCCACACGCACCCCGGTCCCACCATCTGGGGCTGAGAACCCACTCTGCCTGCCTGGAATGCACGTGGCTCCAGACCTTTCAAGGCCATCTGCTTGGGGGGCGGGGCAGAGGGAGGCGAGCGCAGCCCCCTGGACTTCCAGGAGAATGGGCAGTCCCTACAAGGAATGTCTCTGCTATCCCCAGTTATTTTTATAAGAGAACTCTTGGAGTCCAGCAAGAGACTTAAGGTGTTTGTGCAGGCAAGAAGGGCCTGTTGGTGGATGGATGGAAGGTATCCTGCCCCTGCCTGGGTTCCTCCCCGAAAGTAGCATCTGCGCCCTGAAGAACCCAGGAGCTTGGGCAAAGGAGGCTTCACACCTCCAACCTGAGAAGCCTGAAGGAACAGAGACAGCACCATTCGGGGAGACCCTTAAATGCACAGACTGGTCAAACACTAACACAGAGAGGGCTCCAGGACACAGTCCCCCTCCCCACTTCCATGTCTGGGGACTGCATAGCTCTGGCCTCGACAGTAAGGGAGGGGAAGTCTATAAGAAATCAAGCTGGTGCAGAGACCAAACAAGGGGTACAGTGATGGGGGCAACGGCTGCCCCACCTTCTGGCCTAGATCCCAGGAAGTCTTCTGGTCCTAGACGTTCTCCTAAATGCACAGGCCCGAGAGCAGGGAACCTCCACCCTGGGCCTGACACACAACCAACCCAGTCAACAGAGTCCCTCAGAGCTTGGGCCCCACCCGCCCAGGGGCGCCCACCCACAGGCATACAGCACCTGCAGGTGGTGAGGGTGGCCACATCTGCCTGAGCTAGGACAGCCTGGGCAGGGATGGGTTGGGGGTGGAGGAGGAAAGACAGCAGCCTGAAGAACTGGGCGTTCTTTCCAGCCCTACTCAAATCCTGTTTCTCCACTTGGACGTCCCACATCCGGAACAGCCCCATCAATCAACCCCCACCATGCAGGTACTTAACAGCACAAGATATGGACCTACATCTACCCTCATGTGTGTGGGGGGGCAGCCCCACAAGGATGAGGAAGAGGAGGGGTTGAAGGAGGGAGTGGGGAGAATCCGGCTTCAGGCAGGTCCTGGCAACAATGTGGTTTGCACCTGTTCTGCTGAGCAAGCCTCAGGCTGCACCCTACCTGTGAGATCCCAAAGGGACTGCTGGGGGAGGGAGGCAGAGGTGATCAGGTTCAGAACAGGAAGGGGGCGGAGGGGGAGTATCCTCCAGGCATCCCAAGACTCCAACATTAGCAGTTTCCATCCGGGATCCCCAAGGACAAAGGTCTCTACACACACACACACACACACACACACACACGCGCGCGCACGCGCGCGAACCCAAGCACCCCCCCCAAGAAGATTGTCCCTGTGCTTCCAGAGACCCTGCCCCTGGCCCCAAGACTCTCTTATTCAACACACAGCAAGCCCTCCACAGCCACCAGCCAAGCCACTTCCTTCAGTACTGTAGTCATCAGAACTCCTAACACAGTTCCAGCAGAAAGTTCAGGGTGGGGGAATCCCTGCAAACTAAGCTAGCCTCCAAGACCACGGGGCATGGGAAGGGGGCTAACAGGGTGGGAGGAAGGAGACCCTTTGGAACTCCAGTCCCGGTTGGAGTCGACCGGATCCCAGCAGCGCCAAGCCCTGTGGGCCCTTTCCCCCCCAGTACTGAGACCCCCGTGACATCCACCCAGGTCCAGAGCACCGTGTGACCACTTGGGCACCCTGAGAGGCTGAACTAAGGCCAGCCGCCTGCTGGACAAGTCCCTACTCCTGCTGCAACCCCAACCCCCGGCAGCCTCCATCTTGCAGGGGCTCCAGCCCTCGCCCCCCAGCCCCTGCCCCAGTAGATTCCAGTCTGATCTGGGTCTTCATCCCACACCCGGCGCTACCCCGCCGCCAGGGCTGCACTCTCCGCCCGCCCTCCCGCACGCCGACCCCACAACATCCCTTCTAGCGCGCAGCCCCTCTCCTTTATGCACCGCCCCTGAACACAAATGCACGCTCCCCGAGGGGCACCTACCCGGCTGGCTCCTGCTCCCCCTGCCGGGACCGGCGCCCCGAGTCGCAGCCTGGTCCGCGTGCGCTCCCGGAGTTCCTCCTGCACGTTCCCCCAACTTTCGCAGCCTCCGCCACTGGGGCTCCCCGGGCGAGCCGGACCCTCCTCTTAAGCGCTCCGTGACGCACGGGGAGGGGCGGGGGCGCCACTGACGCACGCGGCCCGGCGAGCTGTGGCCATACAAGGGCGCGGGGGGCGGCGCGGTTCCGGCA